TCAGCAAAGGAGGATGCAGAGAAGGAAAAAAAAATCACTCTGGATTTTCTCCATATCCAACTAACCGGATACTATTAAACTCCTCAAAGTAAGGAGAAATAATTTTGGCTGCAAATTAGGTATCTTTTTTATTTACACAGATCTTTTCATATATCTAAACTTCCACACACACACACACAAAGAGAAACAGAGGGAATTTGGTGTTCAAATGGGTACCTTGTCTGAAGATGACACCTCAACATGCTCTGTGTATGATTGTTCATGAATAGTTTTGTAGCTTCAGGACCAAGTCAGAGGTCTGGAATTAGCAGGAGCCGCACCCACCTGCTCCTGTGGCTTTGGGACTAAAGGAGCACCAAAAGAGCCCCAGTTTGGAGCAGTGACAGCCATCCACTACAGCTGCAACTCTCCTTGGGAACACTGGCCTCAGGGAACAAAGTAACCCTTTGTGTGAAGAAGTTCTGAGTTTGGGTAGCCAGAGGGCATGATCTTCTGGAGAAGCAGAGCATACTAGTTAAAAGTGCACCATTAAGCAAAGCACAGACAGTCCCTGCTTTGATTTCCTTATGCAAAATATTATAGAACTTAACTTATGAGTTGTGGAGAAAAAAAAAATTGTAGGACATGACAAAATACCTGATACATAGCAAGTGCTCAATAAATATTTTTTTATTATGGTATAACTGAATCCAGACCAGGATTATGAGTTCAATGATGATGAAGTTTTAAATGATATATTGGTACAGACAGGTTCAGCTGTGATGTAAATTATGTAGAAAGACATTGAGGAGGTATCCACATGGAACTGAATACTAGTGCTACTTTCACGGTTCATTCTGTTCACTTGACTCCACTAAATGACTTGGAAGAGTTAAAATAAGCCAACTGGTCATCCCTAGGTGGGTAAAATGGGCAGCTGGGAGGGCATCATTTCTCGGCAGACATCCTCTTGCTGTAGATTTCCATTGTTTAAAATTGCAACACATTTTGGATCCCCAAATCTCTGGACATGTTGCCTCTGTCCAGCCATCCTGAGGTTTGAATATGCCCAAGAATACCTCCTCATTATCCTTACGAAGTACTGTCCCCCTCACCCTCAATCTGTGGTCTCTGCTCATCTTTAGGTGATCAAAGATGGCTTCAGTTTACCCTGGAAAGCAGATTATTGCTGTTCTTTTATCTCAGGGAAGTGGAGACAGCAGCAGAAAAAGCAGCAGTCTGTCCAATGGACACGTAGTCTACAAAAGTGACATGGCCACTGGATTCTTGAATGTGATAAACAGGCAGAAGGTAATGTTACCCAAAGCCACCCCGCCCAGCATGCAGATAAGGTTAATATTTTGCATGAGCTGCTCAAGCAGTGAGCGCAAGCAATTCTACCAGGTGCAGGCAATGCAGAATAGGTTGAAAGACTGACACAGGGTATATTTTGGGAGGAAAATAAGACTAAAGAGTTAATTGAAGGATATCTGAAGAAAGCAAAAGAAATTACCCAACCTATCTGCAAACCATACCCTGGAAATGAATGGGTTCTTTAGTGTTTGGGACATTTTAGTGTTATAAAAATGAAGACTATAGAGCTATTATATCAAGTAATTTATGGGATGAATATTGTAATTCATTGAATGTCATGACTTATCTTTTATTCATATAGTTACTATTCCATTACCAGAGAGGGAGGTTTGTCAAAGGTTAATTATTTTAAATTGCTCTGGCAAATTTATTTTGATTTGTACAATTTTTTTTGAATAATCATAGGTCTATATATTCATACATCTTTATGAGGCTTCTTTTTTAAAAATAATATTCTCTGATGAGGCAGTTAAAGCTAGATAAATGTGTTAGTGATGCCTTTAAAATATATTCCCTTTAGCTCCAGATGTAGATCTACAAAGAATTATTATATGATTGTTGTTATTGATCTTATGTGTCTATTTGAGAACTTTCTATTTTGGGGCAAAAAAAATTGCAGTAAAAAAATAGTCAAGAAATTGAAATTTGAATTTCTCAAGGGGTTGGTCATGGCTCATCATTTCTTTCAGTTCCGGGTTACTATTTGGAAGTTCCCTAAATGGCAGGTGGGTAAATTGTCAGCCACTGCTATCACCTGTGCCCCGACTGCTGATTCATGTGAGGCTGCTCCTTAGCCAGGGACACACCTCCTCAGGACATGAGAATGGGTCCTATTGAGAGAATAAATGCTGGAAGACATGGCCAATCCCTTTATTGTTGGAAAAATAAATTTGAATTATAAACAAACCTAAATTAGAGAGTAAGTTAAAACTGAAGAGAACTAGGAAGATGACAGTGCAGATAGTATCTATATAATATAATATATAGATTATTGATCAATTCCCATCTCCTTTAAACTTTACAGCCCCTCCTATGAAGGCTTCCTGATTCACTGTGCTCGTCTCCTTTGTATTTCTCAAATACTTACATATCAAGTCTATATTACTATGGTCTTATTCTTATGTAGCTTCTTAATTATTCATAAGTCGTTTGAGGGTTCAAGAGGGACCACATTGGGGAAAAACATTCAAGTTGGAGTCAGGAGACCCAGGCTCACATTTTAACTCTACAGTTCTGAATTAGTATGGGTTTGGATACAGTGTTCAATTTGTCTGAGACTCAGTTTCTTTTATGTCAAAAAGGAGTAAGAAAAGCGACCTACATGATTCGTAAAGTTGGCAATATGTCACCCAATAATTGAACATTTCCCCTGGGTTTGTAAAATTTTTGCATGACTCTTTTGTTTAATCCCATAGTCTACACAAGATGAACACTATTACCCATCTGTTTTTAATGAACATAGGTGTTAGATGAATTGTGTAAAAAGGTTATTTTAACATCGTCAGTCATTATTATTTTCAGTATGCAGATTTTATATTATTAGTTTCATGTTAAAATCACTGAGACTAAAGGCCCTATCCTTTTACTTCTTTTATTTTTTTCTCATTCTCCTCTCATTCTTTCTCTCAGGTGGCTTATGAATAAAATTAGAACATAGATTTTTTTTTTTTAGTGTAGGTACAAAGTACTTTGAAAAATAATGTTTAGTAAACTTGTGTCTATGTATTGCCAAAATATCAGATTGATTTTACTTGGTATCAGGAAAAAAATTAAAATCCACAGTTTTACCAAAGCTTCCACTTTTAACCAATTATACTGGTTTTATGCATAAGTAATAATGTTTCTGAAAAACAGAAATTCTGAAAGCATGGAAATGAAATGTATGTCTTCTCTGTAATATTGTTGCTAAAACAAAAGCCGTAATACATGATTCTGGAAACAGAAATGGTGGTGTCAGGTACAGAGATTGTTAGGATACATCCTAGTTACTTACCCCACTAAAAGGAAAGATTCAATCTAAAAGGGTCCTTGCCTGTCTTGTTCATACTCAATGTTTCAGGTCCCCAGCACACAGTTGGTTGTTAATAAATATTAGCTAAGTATAATGTTATTCATTATATGAATCAGACCCTAAAAAGAACTATGAAATTTCACAGTTAAAGAAGAACTTGGAGTCTTGCAATAGATTGAGAAGAGCAAACCAGTGTTGGATAGGGGACACAAAAAAAGAAAATTAAGGAAATTAAATGTTATTCAAAAAGAGTAAACTAAAGGAACATCGCTAATGTTGTATAGCAGCATATATGATATTTATAGTGAAGCAGATAATGTTAACAGGAGAATGATTCCTGTGTCTGCTGTAAATAGAAGCAGGGAAATGTGTTCACCTTGCCATAAAGAGATGTGCATTAGCTAAAAGTAAATAAATAAAGATGTAAACACATTCATACATAAATCCTCATCAGGAAATAGGTAGGAAGTGAATAAGAAATTATAGAATGAGCTCTCAGTGTTTGAGTTTTTGCTCTTTAATATGTCAGGCCTAGACACTGTGTCTAAGTACTTGACTTACATTATCTCCCTAAACAAATTCTCTGCAGTAGGTATTATTATGACGAGAAAATGGAAGCTAGGAGCAGTTAAATACTTGCCCAAAGGTACATGCTAGTGGTCAGCAGAGTTTGGAAGTAGTGGTCCTTTCCGCCTTTTGGGTCATTTAAGGTACTCATCACAGTCAGTGTCAACATGGACTAGCTCTATAGTTTTTCTTCTCCATATAACCTTCAGGATCCTACAACTGGTTTCTATTTTTGCATAAGAGACTGAATGAGAGCAGAAGCTGATTGGCAGCTGTGATAATGCAAAATATTTACTAATAATACCTATAGTGTTATTTGTTTAAATATGTGGTATTATGTATATATACACATACATATGTATATATGTTTATATATTTGTATATATTTGCATGGGATATATATATGTAGGTTTCATATATATAGTTATAGAATGCAAATACATGTATCCATATGTATATATAAATATATGTACATGTACATATTTGCATAGGTCACATATATACACATGAAACCATGGATATAACTCCTCAGTATATGTATACGCATACATATATGTATTCAGTATATATACGTATATGTATACATATATATGTAACCTCTGCAAATATTTTACTCTTATAAAATCATCTTTACTTATATTTCATGATAAAACTAGAGCCCCATTGTATAGAACTAGTGAATCTATAAACAGAGAGATTTCATCTTCGAAACAGTAATGGCCTTAAACAAGATGGCAGGATGAAGGCAGCCCCCTGCCCTGCAAGAATGGTCACAATTAAGCCTACCCTTTCTCAGTTTCACCAAACACTCTGAATAAAAACTGTTCTACATCCAGTGTTTTACCAGAGACCATCTGATTCCTGTGGCTTGGGTATTTCTATTTTTAATTCTCCTTAACAAAGACCTCTAAGTACAGAATCTTCCTCTAAGTCCTATAGAGTGCTATTCTGATCACCCCTTCATGTTTCTGAGCTGCTCTGGGATAATGTTGTGGGGGGAAGGCCCCCAGGGGAACAGCTGATTGGATTCTGGCAAGACAGACCAAACATCTGCTTCAAACAAAAGACATCTGCATATTTCACATTTATTTTTCATAATTTACAGAAGCAACCTGCCAAAATTCAGCAAGGGAGAATACGCTAGTACATAATTAGCTTAAAGTTTGCTTGCTTTAGAAGTATGAGCATGGAGCCCTGGAGTTCACCTGGGAGGACATCAAGGAATGGTGGAACTGCAGTTTGATTTCTGTAAATTCTGTCTTAGACCTTATATTCCAGGGCAGAAGACCAGACCTGCTGGGCATGAAAGAGAGAAGTAAATACGCCAGAGGTGACACTAGGGGGTCCTTTTGTCCTCGTGTCAAATAAAAGGCTTCTATACCAAAGGGCTGGCCAAAGGTAATATCATTTATTAAATAAGATTTCATTAGGTAGAAAGATTTTGCTTCCACTTAGCACTGCAGTGCCCAGGTTAGATAATGATGCAATGCCACAGGGATTTTAATTAAAAATGCATCTACCTAGAGTACCGATGTCACGATGAGAAAGCATCTGTGGGATGTTCCATTATTTTTCAAAGCATTTGAAAGTCATTACTTACCCAAAATACTGCAAAATACACAGAGAGCAAAATAATGGATAATCTAATCAGCTGATCATTAATAATATACCCTGGTGGAAAAGAGACAGCAAATTGTCCTCTCCTATTAACCACATCTTAGCAGTGGAAATTCAAACCTTGAATGGTCATTATTACATAAAATAACTAAAGCATGCTTAGTTGGAGAACAAAAAGAGTTTTAAAGGAGGAGGGGGTTCTTTTTCTTTCCAGTAAAGAAATTTCAACCTTCTGTCCAGTAGTTTAAAAAAAACTTGCTACTCGATCCTACAGTCTTTCTTAACTTCAGGGAGAAAATTTATTTATAAGTAAAGCAAATATCTGTAAAATATTAGGCATTGTTTTGAAGTGTTTGAGACATTAGGCCCCTGATGTGGAAAAGGAGTGTTATTTTAATTTTGCTGACTGTGATCTCCAAGTCATTGCTTTATAAAAGTGGTTTGTGATTTAGTTGTAGGCACAACAGTAACCCTAAAAACATCTCTTCAATAATACCATGGCCGTTCCAAAAGATTTAGCGTCTTCAGTCATGTGTACATTGTAGAAGAAACGTACAATCTAGGCATTAGCTATTAGCTATTTCTAAGGGATGACTTGATTGTGGTCATTCTAAACGTGGCCCACTACATGTTTTTGGTATGTTTTAGGACTTTGCTTATAACATGTGCATGACAAATTGGTTTGAAACATGGAATCCAAATTCAAACAGTAGTTAATTTAAATAAGATGACTTATAATTGTGCACTAATTCACTGTTTGAAAATTGCTAGTGATTTTAAAATATGGGTGCTTTTTTCTTCACTTCAAACATACTTATTTTTAAAACCAATATATTGTATACATAAATCTTTCACATAATTATATGTTCTCTTCTCTTCTGGCAGTAAGCTTTCGATAAAAGCACAGCTTGCTATTATGGGAAGAGGGAGGACCTGAGAATCTTGGACATGGATTTGAATTACGGTTCAATCATCTGTAAGATGGGTTAATTTGTTCCACTTAAACTCTGGATTTCCATTTCTTCATCAGTCTCTTAGGAGTAGTATCTTTGTTATGAGGACTAAAGGAGGTCACTTGAGTTTATCAGGGTGCATGATTTGTACCTAAATTGGCATTCTGATTTGGCAAAGACTGTAACTTGCCCAAATTTGGGTGTCTTGTCCCTTAGGAGAATTTGGTATCAGATAAGAATACCTAGAGTCCAAAACATGCCCTCAAGTTGGTTGAAACATTTTTCATTCTATGACACTATGTGGGAGATGTATGACAAAAAGTAAAAATGGAAACAGTTGTCTTCCTAAAATTTCTACAACATACAGGGCCACAATATGTGCCACTTGGAGATCTGTCTTCCTCATTTCCTTGTTGGTTCTTATTAGGAGATATCAGAAGTAGACACAATTCCTGGTAAATGCAGAAAATTCAGGAAAAAGTTGGTGACAGTCCCCCACAGAAGCAGTATTGGTAGGGTAGCTACCTTGCTCAAAGAAAGAGTGTTTCCCATAACACGCCCAGTAGGAAAAGTGATAACTAGCAGAAGGGCCCAGGAAACACCAACATGTACTGGATCAGTCAATACTGCAACACTAAGTATATGAGATTATTTAAAACAAGTTTAATTAAAATTAAAAATTCAGTTCCCCAGTCTCACTAACAGATCCATCGTTATCCACAGTTCTATTGCACCACACTAGACTAGTGGATGTCTGGATGGCTCCAAAGCATATGTTAAAGGCCCCCATAGTGATCTCTGAAGTACCAAAGACTGGGACAGTGCAGAAAGACAACATGTGAGGTACTAAAAGATCTGTTGGGATAAGAGTTGGTCAAACAAGGGTTATTCTCTTAAACATGACCTCTTTTACCCAAGGTGAAACCCAGGAAATCTAGTATATATACCAAAACCGCTGCAAACTACTTTGATAGTAATAGGCTTCAATAAATAAAATCCCCTTTTGGCTTAAAATCTCTGTCAGATAACTTCTAATATAGTTATCACTGTTGCCAGAATGATCTTTCTACCACCCATATTGGATCATGAGCCTCTTCAAAACCTGTCAAAGACTCTTAATAACATAAAGAACATGGAACAAAGCCCTAACTCTCTTTTCTTGTCAAATCAAGCACAGGCACTGGAGATTCATACCTGAGTATGAGTCCCAGCTCGGGCATTTGCTGGCTGTGTGATCATACATTTTTGGTTAACCTCTCTGTGTCTTGAGTTCCTCATCTGTATAATTTCCTAAAGTTGTTATGAGATTGAATCAAGCTCTTAGAATGGTACCTAGTCCTTATTGAATAAATATTGTATTCCTTAAGAATCTGATCCAAAATCACATATCAAATTTATTTCAGTTATATCCCCTGCCCTCTCTATATTTTAATCACACATTATTCCCCCAACTTGACATAAATATCTTTTCCTCTTTAAACACACACACACACACACACACACACATACACACACACACACACACACAGAAACACACACACATTAAAATCTATACATTGAAAATCTTTCACATTCCAAATGTACCTTTCTAGAAAATTTTTTTTTCTACATTAGTTTTACTTTAACATGTCCATAGTTTATGGTTTCCTTCAGCATTATATTTCATTCCATTCTGCATTGCTCTTGAAAGCTTGGTCTTTACACTCCTCCAGGAAACACTTATGCTTGTGCACCTCAGAATATGCACGTAACATGGATCCTTGATCAATGCTACAAGAGAGGGAGGGCGAGCCTGCTTTTCAGATCAATTCTATGAAATACCCATTTTGTCTAAATGTGGTATTTTAGAATTCACGCATAATGAGTGCTTCTCAAGTTTTCTAAACACATATAGGGCTCAGTGTCCTTCAGATGAGGAACAGAAAATGTGTTAATCTCCTTCATATGTTCTGCTTCATGCCAAACTCCAGGTTTACCCAAATCTGGCTGCATGAAGGGACAGTCACACCCTTAGAAGACTGAATGCTGTTTTGCTTGTGCTAAATCCAAACTCACAGTGATCTCAGGCCATTTATCTTCTTGACAATTTCTCATCCAAATTATTCCTAAAGCACTCTCTGTGTGCATCACACTCTCCGCTGAGGAATCACCTGTCAGGCCAGTGTCCTTTCTTGGGTTCCACTCTTGCTGGAAAGCCACAGGCTTGAGCTAATTCTGTCTTTTGGCCAATGTGGACCTGTTTTTCTGAAAAAAATAAAATTGACTTTTTTAATTAGACAGAAATCATGGTACTGAATTGGAAAATGATGAAATGTTGGATTATGAACTCACGTGTTCTAAGTTATCTCCCCAAATAATGACGATGAACACACAATAGTATACTGATATTGTAGCAGAAAGGCTTATGACCAAACAAAGGATGAAGCAGAGTGTCACACAGAATGAGTGTTCCTGAACCTTCCTTCCATCAGACAATTCCCACTAAGTGAGATGTATCTACATTTATATATATATATTATCTAGTACCACCACCACCAACAGAGGAAATCTAAAATTTCACCCAAAGAAATTATTTTGAATAGAGAGGACATGGGTCTTATCTCCAACAACTTGTTAAGATCACGGATCCCTTCTCCTATAGAATGGAACAGTGAACATCTTAGAAAACATGTGCTCATGTGCTCAGCATTTTTGTTTATTAGGCCAGTTATGGCCACCAAGGCTTTTCCCACTACACTTTTTTAGTCTCTCCATGCAAAAGTGATTCATATCCACAGTGAAGTTGGAGCACATCTGAAATCCAACCTGGTTGAAGCATTATCTCTGAATAATTTTAAGATCATTTACTTTTTATTTGTAAAAATCACTGGAATCATATAGTCTTTCTTGTTTTTTTTTCCAAAGCACTGTGGTCAAATTTTGTTCTCTCCCCAATAGTATCATACAACATGTGTTCATCTTGGCTAAGAGTATGGGAGTCTATGAAGGGAAATCTCTGCTCAGAACACCTCATTCTCCTTTCATTCCTAATAAGCAAAAAAGATCCCACTTCTTCTTAGCCTCTCAATTATCCTGGATGATTTTATTCATTATAAGATATAAAATATAGCTTTGGAAGTGTTTAAAAGCCTAAAGAAAATAGCTACTAATAGTATCTTTTTATTGCCCACAATTCATCGCACCAAGAATAGCAGTTATGCTCTTAGAGTTGCTTATTGCTCAGTCTTAAATTTTCTAATTGTTTTAGATTTTTCACTTATTTTAGACATTTTCACTTTGCCCCCTAGAGTAAATTAAGACGAAAGGTAAATTAAAAGAGAGGAATTCAGCATAAAGAGAATAAATAAACAAAACACAGATTGCAAAGTAGGAATGAAAACAAGTTCCCCAGACCAATCTGTTAAAGGAATGCTACAAATGTGAAGTGTTTACTATTTTAAAACATTAATCATGTACTCACCCTGTTTATTTAGCTATCAATGTTTTTCCTGTAATTCTGACTTGAAAATGTGTAAGCTGTTTAGAATTAGGACTCAAGCCGAAGCCAAATGATATTTTGATTATTTATATTGCCTAGCTTGTCTTGAAACTTCAGAGTTTCAGTCTTTTCATTTCAATTCACACCTTTTTAAAAGTCGTTATTGTTTTGTATAATGTGACATCTCAAATAACTTTTATTGCCACCCACTACCATATGCCCAAGCCACAGCTATTAAAGATAGGGAGCCTGAATCCTCCATCAATGGGCTTATTCAGAAGACTGCCGCCATCTTGTTTTCACCTAAAACCCATGCACAGACTCCCAAACCCTGTATTTACAGGTCTAGCCTAGTCATCAAAGTTAGAAGTCCCAAAGAGCTGAAAATTACTCAAGTTTCTGATAGAATTTTCTTGGTATATATTATTTTAATAAAATGTTTTATAATTTGGATCTGCCAATAGAAAGACCACCAAAGCTACCGTATACTCATCATGAACAGGAGCTTCTCATCTGATTTCATAAAGCTATAACTCCTGTTAAGGAGAAATATATTGGTTCACCTGAAACTGACCAATACAATTATTATCCTCTCAGAATAATATTTGCACTCTCTTTTTCTATGACTACGAGAGCTAAGTATCTATTGGGGGAGGAGGAAAAATAAAAGTTTCATAGTATCGAACTTATATCTCATTAGAGTCATATGGAGGGTCAGCACGGTCAGTGATTCTTGGGTGCTTCCAGTCCCTCTTTTGTGTCATTTACCACTCTTCATCCGACTCTAACCTTGCCCTCTGGGTGACTAGTGCCCTTACCACCTACTCACCTCATAAGCATTTCTGACAAATGGCTTTTAGACGCTCAATGTCCCAGTTGACTGTGTCATCTCTATTGGGGTAATTAACAAAGAACTAACATCTAAATCAAAGCAATGGATCATGTAAAGTGTCATTTTTAAACATTTATGGTTGAAGAAGAGCATTGGACACAAAAAAGTTTTCCAGATTCTACCAAATTAATATCTATCGACTGAATGATGGTGTCCTGGGAGTTTCCTATGCATGTGTTCTACCAGAGATGTACACACATGCACATGTGTTGCATATATGCAGGCTCACAAGACACTTCAATTTGAAATATCAAGACATGTCAGCACAGGATTAACAAATATAAAAGGATCTTGAAAACTAACAAATATTTTATAAATATTTAGTGCTAATGTGTGCCCACTCACTCAACACAGACCTCCTTAAATAAACAATAAAGAATTACACAAATAACATGCACTAGCCCAGGAAAATCTCAAACAATTCAATTGCTTTCAGTATCACCTAAAGAACCAGCCTTTATCACAGTGTTGTTACCTATTGAAAGAAAGAACCACAGGCGTCCTGCTATGATCAGTCATCAGGAATAGTGCCAACTCTCCTGTTTTACAAAGGATGTGATTTCAGGCAAACTTAAATATATTTACAAAAGCTGATTCTTGTTTTATTTTGTTTTTGTTTCACATCCATAGGCTATAGGAGTCTTGAATTGGTGATATTTTAGATTACAAAGCTAAAACAATTCCTAGTAATTTTAGTACACAGTAATTCTTAGAGTATATGTGGTTCTTTTTTCCTACTTTTCTATTTTCCTGAAATTTCTTACCAGATAAAATTTAGTGCTGACATTGGTAGATGCACCTCACCTTGGCCTAGGAACTTTTATGATATTTTAAGAGACAACTATAGATTTGCCTGGGTGTATCTTAATGGGCTTATTACCTAAATGTGTTTAGACACATTCTAAAATTTCAGTGAATCTGTTACTTCCTAGGAGAATCAATACCTTTTAAAATTCAATTTGAAATTTTAGTCTAATCGATTGCTTCCATTGCTAAAATTTTCACAAGTACTCCATTAGAGAATGTTGACAACCATGTTTTTCTGAGATGGTAAAGTCTCCAGCCGTAGATGTTGGTTGGCTTTACTGGATAGATGTTTCCCCTTTTGGAAGAACCATTATCACAACACTACTCAATATTCCTTCCTTTACAACTCAAACTTGCTTGTTTGTTGAGGTGCCAACATTCCACTGTGCTACTCTACTCCTTAGACACTCAAGAGTGCCGCCATGTTTATAGCACATCTGCTCCCATGCTTTCAAGGCCTTTCTCAGGCAATAGAACACCTACACTTCATATAACTCTGGAAATAAAAGGAAAATGCAGATTTAACTATTTATCTCCTACACTGAGAAGGAGCATCCTTTTCCAAGGAAGGCTGTTCATCTGCTACCAGAGAAATTATTTATTATTTCTTGAGTTAAATCAGGCATTTACTCAAAAGCCAAACATTCTAAGTTAAATTTATATATTAAGATAATAGCTGCTTTATTTGAGGTACCTGTTAATCGGGCTGAATTTTACTACCTTATGTCTTCGTTAAATTTTTATCTCCAAACATTAACAAACCTCTGAGGTTCCTTTTTTAAAAATTTTTACTTATTTATTTTGCCACTGTTTTATTTTATTTAAAATAAATTGTGGGGCTGGGATTGTGGCTCAGTGGTAGAACGCTTGCTTAGCATGCATGAGGCACTGGTTCAATCTTCAGAACCACATAAAAACAAAATAATGTGTCCAACTAAAGCTAAATGATACATAAGTAAATAAATATTTTCAAAAAATAAAAAATAAAATAAATTGTTATTTTCATTTTATTTTTAAGTTTATTATTATTGTACCAATTTATTTATGTGGGAGCATACTTTCTTTTAAAGAAATATGGGCTCAGAGAAATAAAAGGATTTCCAAGATCAGATGGACAATAACAGTGCAGAATAAGATTGCAAATGCAGGATTTCTGAGTCCTTGCCCAGCATTCGATTTTAGGATTAACAATTCAGGATGACATTTTCTGTGCTCTCAGCCCACTTTTTACCTCAACCATAGTTGTAGCAGCCATTCGTTCACAGGGATAACCTGCAATACCTCATGCAGCCATATGTCCTCTGACACTGATATTGTGACACATGCTTCCACCTACAATACGTGTAAGAATTTTCAGTGAAAGAAGCTGGTAGATAAAGGCTCTCCCCTTTCTTTGGGACAATTCTGGAACATATCTGACCGGTCTTCAGAAAGTGCCAGTGGGATAGAGCTCAGTACGCACACCAGTAGCCGACTCAATAATGCATCCTTGAATTATATTTATTGCTCTCCCAGCCTCATCTCTTGTTTTCCAAAAAAAGTGTCTCAGACGGACCCCAAGGTAAAATAAGCACATTCTAAAAGTAATAGAATCTATTAACTCAGGGAATGACTAGTTTTTATTTGAGAATATCCTTTAGCAGGCTCTTTGGTCTTTCAAAGACAACACTTGGGCCTAGTGTGAAAGGAAAGTATCAGTAAAGGCGAGTATCCAACAATTTTTAATCCAAAAATAATGTTTTGGATAGGCAGAGATGTTATTCTGATATTAATTAAATAAAATTATCTCCAAAGTTTAACAGTCTCTGAAATTATTTATTCTGTGGCCTGATTTTGGAAAGGAGGTAAGTGTGTAGACAAGAAAAGATAAAAAATTAGGGAAAGGAGACAATGGTATCGGCCCTGGGAACATAACAGGAGACATAGGTCTCAGGAAAGAGAGGACCGCAGGATGATAACCTGTGATGGAGCGCGGCCTGCGGACCTCATGCCAGCAGGGCTCTAGAGTCGGCTGGTATTTTGCTCCCAGGATCACCTCAAATCTTCAGCAAAGCTGCGAAACCATGG